ACATGCAACAAGATGAGTGAACAGCAAAAATATTTTACACAGAAGAAACCAGACCCGAAGAGTACATATCATGTACCCCATTTATGAAGCTCAAAGTTAATTTGTGATGGTAGAAATCAGAATACACGTTACCTTTGGGAGTAGGTATTGATGAGGCTGGAATTTCTAAAAAAGGGACTACAGGTGAAGAACAGTGGCTCATATCCTGAGCTGGCCCTGTGTGGTCCAGCCACTCTTCTTCACTTGTAGTCCCTTTCTTAGAAATTCCAGCCTCATAACTAGGGAAACGGCATTTCTCAATTTTCTGTGGAGCACAGCCATGTTCCAATATCACTATAATGAATTAAACCCATGCTGGTGGGAAACACTGAGTGAGAAGTAGAGGACAGAGTTTCTGTCCATCGAGGTTTACAGTTTGGACATGGACAAAAGCAACTTTGGGTTTCCCTGGTAGCTCAGTCAGTAAAGAATCTGCCTGCAATGCAGGAGATGGGGATAAATGCCTGGAGTCAGGAAGATGCCCTGGAGAAGGAAATGGCAACCCACTTCAGTATTCCTGCCTGGAGAATTCCATGAACAGAGGAGCCTGGTGGGCTACAGTCCATGGGGTTGCAAGAGTTGAACACAACTCAGTGGCTAAACCACCACCACCACCACCAAAAGCAACTTTAAACAACACATCAGCTCCTTCCACCCTAGACTTCTCTCTCTGGGGAGCATTCCAAAGGTCTTTGGAAGAGAGAGGTCCTGACACGGCCCAGGAACCAGCCCCCTCTGCCTTTTCAACCCTGAACTAGACTCAACCAGGGAAAAGGTCTACAACTGCTCTGCAGTCTGCCTGGTATAGGGGAGGTCATACACTCCTTGGAGCAAAGAGGGGCTGGTGGACTTGAGGCTCAACATCAGTAAGGTAAGGCCAGAACTCTGGCCTGCTGCCTCCCAGCTCAGCTATCCACAGGGTAGGGTGGTGAGGGGGGTGGAGGGGGGGGAGATTCAGCAAGATACTTACCAACTGGAAACAACTCTCAGCTCTTCTCTGTTAAGTTCTTCCCCAGAATGGGTAATGGTTTCCTCTCTCTCTCTCTCTCTCTCTCTCCATATCCTTACTCTTTCTTGCTCACTCTCCCAAGCACTTATTTGGATAAGTGTCTCTGCTAATCCTAACCAGGCAGAATAATACCTGGCCCGGAGCCTGGTGCGGGGTGAATGTGTGCACAAGAGAGAACCGCCTGTCGCAGTAAGCTCAGCTAAGGACAGAGATGAAGCCTGTGTGAGGAGCCTGCGTGTGTTAAAGTGTGTCAGGGGTGTGTTCTGTACCTGAGCTTCTGTAAAGAATTCTTAACAGCGATCTTGCCATGGGAACATCCAAGTGGCAACCCAGTCACATTAAACACAGGCCAAGGACATCAGAGAATCAGCAGGCTTCTGGGAGTGTCAGACTTGCAAACAGGGAGCCAAGAGATCAGCCATGGGATAGCTGGGTGTGGGAGTGCGTGAAGAGGCTTAGAGTGCCAGCATCGGATTGGCAGGTTTTCCACCAAAATGTGCAGGATCCGAACTAGTATATGTGACAGGTGAGTGTGAGAGAGTAGTGGGGAAAAGGAGAACTGAGCGGGCGCAGGGAGGATACGGGAGCTGACTGAGACAGACGGATAGAGGAATGTGAGCTGGGTAGAGGGCCCTGGAGTCCGCGGGGCGGGAGGGACCTGGGTGGCTCTAACAGCTGCTGAAGCGTAGAGTCTCGTGGGGATGTGTTAATCAACACGGATATTCAGGTTTCCCTTTTCCCGCCGGCGAGGCGAAGCAGAGAGCTCCCTCTTGCCCCGCAGTAGTGGGGAGCGGAGGATGTTGGAGAGCCCCGCTGGCTGTGGCGTGGGACCCGCCGAGCGGCGCGAGATGAGCTCTGCCGCCTCGGGCCGCCGCGCCGCTCGCGCGACTGTGGCAGGATTCCTGGCCGTGGGGAGAGGCGCGCCTCGCCCCATGAGAGCCGAGGGCGCCGCTCGCGCCGGCTGTCTGGGCCTCCACCGCGCAGCACGGGCGCGGGGCCCGCAGCCCTGTTCGGTCAGCGGTCTCTTCACCGCTCCGACAGCACTGCTCGGACGGGAAGACGGGAGGCGCAGCGGCGGGCCCCTGAGAAAACAGGACAGGAGAGGTTGGGAGCTCCGCCCGGCCCCTGGACGTGGGCACCGCCCCAGGGTCACCAAGCCGGAGCCCTGCGTCGCCGCGACGCCCTGGGGCCCCACACAAGCCTCGGCGAGGTCCGCCCTGCCGGCGGGATCCCGACCTCGCTCGGAAGCGGGGCCCTCCCCAGCCTGGCCAAGAGGGTCAGAAGGGAACGAAGGCGTGCCCCGCGGCTTCCTGGAGAGATCAATACCTGCAGGCAGGACTCCTCTTCCTGCCACTCACAAAATCCTTTAGAGGAACCCCTTCCTTTAACCCCAGCCCCTACACACACACACACACACACACTCTCTCTCTCTCTCTCTCTCTCTCTCTCTCCTCAAAGGCTGAAAGGGAGCTGAGTTTGGAATTCGGGGAAGTGATGACACACACAACAATGCTGTCACACCTGGCTGCTGCAGGCCAGCAGCGGAAATGCCTGCAAGGGGGGAGAGAGACAGAAAGAGGACACCAGCCTGGGTGGTCAGAAAGAGAGGACAGAGCACCCACCCCCAGGTAGGGACAGACCCAGCTGTTTTTGTCTCTATCAAAGCCGTGAGGGAGGATGGGCAGTGGGGTCCATCTGTAGCAGCCCTAAGCCCAACTCACACCATTCCTACCCAGAGCCTGGCCACAAATGGGGGTAAGGAAGAAAAACACACCTTCACTCCAGCTCAGGAAACAACAACAAAAGTTCTGAAGAAGAGCCACTTGCCTCCCGTGTATGTTGGAAGCAGTGAAAGAAAACAAGACACTCTGGGATCTTTTCAGTGGCGGGTGGAGAATGGTATTTAGTGAGGTGAGTTTAGGAGACCCCTGCTTCCTCTTACTGTGGTGCTCAGGTCACACTGCCCTGCCGACCTTCCTGGCGTCGTCTTCAAGGTGCTGAATTCCAGAGAGCCCGATCACACCCTGTCCTCTGTTCTTTTAATTGCAGAATGCAGATCAGGAGCCTAAGTGGCACGAAGCAGCTCTAGAGGGTGGCTTGTGGATGCTGGGGAAAAGGCCCAGAGACCACCAATGGCTCTTCCCCAGAGATTGGGCAGCTTGGGAGGAAGAGGTAGCAACAGGCATTGGGCCAGTCAATCCAGACGTGCCAACTAGTACACACAAAATTGTGTGCCATCCATTCAGTTCACCTTCCTGCACAAAGGACCCTGGCTCCACCAGCAACAGGGAGTTTGGGGCATGAGGACTCAAAACACTGGCCATCTCTCTCACACTTTATGACTGCAGACTTTTTGTTAAGGCCGAGTTAACCATTAAAAGGCACATTTGAGTATTGTTTCAGCACTGATTTCCCCCAAGACAACCTCCATTCATGCAATTGGGTCCCAATCAGACTTTTGCTAAAAGTAGGTGAGAACTCAGCCCCCCAACACTTGAGAAAGATCAGAACAAAGGTCTTGTCCGGAGAGAGATTTGAACAAATGCCTCCCTCACAGCCTGTTGTTTTTCTTCCTAGGCTGTGACAGAATATGTACACTGGCAGGCGGGCGGGCAGGAAGAATTGAGAAAGAAAAGAAAAGGGGGGAGAGGGAAGGAGTGAAGAAATAAAGGAGGGGAGGAGAAAAGAGAAGAGGAAAAAGAAGATGCAATATTCATGAGTCACATTTACTCTGATACATTTATATACAAATGTCATTATGCATCTATAAAGTATAAACGCGTTTTACCCCATAAATATAAATTTCACATCTTGTATCTGTGCATACCTGTGTTTCTGCACACGCACATCCAAACAGCTATCTCACTTGTCACAAGGACAGACCCTCCCCATGACTTCTATTTGTGATAAGAAGCACAGACGTAAACTGTCCCCCAAAGTCCCACGACAACGTTTGCGCCTGTGTCGGAGCAGAAGCAGAGTGGGGTCTACTTGGTGTTTTAAAGCATACGTCCAACCCGTAGGATTAAGACGCGGATACTGAGTAGGTATCACAGGGCCAGGAGCAGCGCGAGGAAGAGCGGGAGCTTCAGGCGGAGCCCCTGGGCGCCTCCTCCCAGCGATCCTCTTCGGCTCCTTCCCGGCCCAGGCACTCTGAGAGCGCGAGGGACAGGCCAGGCCAAGGTTTCTTCGTTCAGTGACACGCGTTTCTGGGCTGATTTTCCCAAAGCCACCGCGCAGCCCTCTCCACCCCACCCCCGGCCGGCCCCCTCGCCGTCCCGCCCCTCCCCCGGGCCCGAGCTAGAAGTTAGCCCCGAACCAGCAGCAAAGGGCAGAGCAAAGGAGCCGTTTTCTTTCACCTGGACGCTGCGAGGAGGCTTGGCGCGCCTCTCCGCGCTAGGGCCCGAGTTCCTTGCGCGCGCGGGCCGAGGGCGGACGGACCTCGCCGAGGCCCTCGGCATCTCCCGGCCCAGTCCGCAGAGCGAGCACCGGCAGATTCAAGGGCTTGTGAAAGTGTGATCGCGGCTATCCGCCGGGCTCCCTAAACTCGCTGGGAGGGGGCAGGCCGGTCCGGGCTGTGCGGGGCGTTTACAAAAAAGTGACTTGGAGATGAACTCTCCCGTGCGCGACTGGCCGCCCCGCTATAGGGGCGAAGGCGCCTGACGCAAGCGGAACTCGGTGGAGCCCATACGAATCAGAACAGAGCGAGGCTCCTGGCGCTCTGGAAACTCCAGGAGGCAGCTCCGCCAGAGACGCGGGTCGTGTCTCGGGAAACCGGAGGGTGGGGGGAGGGGAAGAGCGCAGAAAAGAAAACCCACCGAGGCGGGGACTGGCCTGGGCGGGGAGGGGCGGCGGAGCCGGAGCCCCTCTCTGTTAGGCGGACTCCCCATGGCCAGAGACTAAGCTCCACTCCCGCCGGCCGCTCCCTTGGGGAAGGGAAAGAAGAGGAGAGAGGAGCGAGAGGCCGCCAGCGAGAGCGCGGGCGGCATACGCGAGTCTGCAGAAGTTTGAGAATCGGCCGTGAACGGACTTGTGCGCCCGGATTCTTTGCCGCGCCAGCGCCAGCGGAAAAGAGCAGGGATTGCCCGGCCGCGGCGCGCCGGCTTTGTCATGATGGCCAGCTACCCCGAGCCCGAGGACGCCTCGGGGGCCCTGCTGGCCCCGGAGACCGGCCGCGCAGCCAAGGAGTCCGAGGCGCCGCCGCCGCCCAGCCCGGGCAAGGGCGGCGGCGGCGGTGCGGGGACAGCACCGGAGAAGCCGGACCCGGCGCAGAAGCCCCCATACTCGTATGTGGCACTCATCGCCATGGCGATCCGCGAGAGCGCCGAGAAGAGGCTCACGCTGTCCGGCATCTACCAGTACATTATAGCCAAGTTCCCGTTCTACGAGAAGAATAAGAAGGGCTGGCAGAATAGCATCCGCCACAACCTCAGCCTCAACGAGTGCTTCATCAAGGTGCCGCGCGAGGGCGGCGGCGAGCGCAAGGGCAACTACTGGACGCTGGACCCGGCCTGCGAGGATATGTTCGAGAAGGGCAACTACCGGCGCCGCCGCCGCATGAAGCGGCCCTTCCGGCCGCCGCCCGCGCACTTCCAGCCGGGCAAGGGGCTCTTTGGGGCCGGAGGCGCTGCGGGTGGCTGCGGCGTGGCGGGCGCAGGGGCAGACGGCTACGGCTACCTGGCGCCCCCCAAGTACCTGCAGTCCGGCTTCCTCAACAACTCGTGGCCGCTACCGCAGCCGCCTTCGCCCATGCCCTACGCCTCCTGCCAGATGGCGGCGGCTCCACCGCCGCGCCCCCGGCGCCCGCGCCCACCAACGCACCCGGCCTGCAGTTCGCCTGCGCCCGGCAGCCCGAGCTCGCCATGATGCATTGCTCTTACTGGGACCACGACAGCAAGACCGGCGCGCTGCACTCGCGCCTCGACCTCTGAGAGTCCAGCGCACGAAGGCTGCGAGGATGCAGGGACGCGCGACGCCCGCCTTGGCCGCCGCAGCCGGCCAGACCGCGCGCCCGCTGGGGCCCCCTGAGCCAGCGCCCACCGCCCCTCTGCGCCTCCTAGCTCTCCTCAGCTCCTCTTGCTCCTCTTTGTCTCCGCTTCTCCCCCTGTGTCCGCCTCCCTGCCCTCTTTGCCCTTTCGTTCCCCTGGCCTGCAGGCCGCCTCTCCACGCGTTTTCCGCAGGCCTAGTCTTCTCCGGGCGCCCCAGCGTCGGGGCTGGACACCCGTCGCCAAAGTTCACGGCGGAGAGGAAGTGTCCGGGGCCGAGGTGCAGCCGGGCGTCGGCAGCGCAGACCTCCTGGCCTTTTCTCACAGGTCGGTGCACTCGCACTCGGCTCTCTCCGCCGGGCTGCCGCGCCATCCTTGGCTAGAAGCGACGGCATGGGCCGGCAACAAGACCCGCGCCGCCCGAGAAAGGGACAAATGGGTGTTCGCTCCTCATACCCTTTTGGAGCTATTCAGAAGCCCCTTCCTGGGGCCCACTGGGCAGGGCGGGGGTTGGGCTGGATCAGGGAGCCGGGTCTGCCTCGCTCGGCGGCCTGTGCCCGGGTTTACACAGCATCCCGGCTCGGAGAGAGACTGCGTTTCCTCCGCTCTCCATCCCGGCGCTTGGGGCCCCTTCAGGCCCGGGCGGCTGGCTCATGTTTTGCTAAAAAGATCGCGAGGGCTATTTTAGATAATATCAAAAAATAATTTTTAAACGAAAAAAATTCACCGGAAAACCGGCGAAACATTGTGGCCTTGGAGTTTGCTAAAGCGAAACATGAAAATCTTTTGCAGGAGATTTGAAGAATTCCTGTCGGGCCTTCAAAAAGCTATGTTCAGAGAGGTAGGAGTATATGCCCCGTATCAGATGGTTTCCTCTACAAATTATAGAGTATTTCACCCCTCAACCTATGCTTTTTTAAAAAATCGAAAACAAATTTCCCCTTATCTTCCGATGCCAGCCTTGAGCGCGGGGAGATCACTGTCTGCCTGGCGGAAGCTGCAGGGTCGATTCATCCCCTCCCTGATTTTTGTTTTCCAAATGTCTTGCTTCTCCCACTTTGGGCAAGAGAAATGTGAAACCCGGCAGCAGTCGGACCAGGCGGGCTTGTGGCTCCGAGCCTGCCGGCCCACAACTCTAGACCTGGTTGTTTTGTAGTGTGTCGTTCGGAGGACCAAATTTTTCTAGAAAGAACTAGAGCACTTTTGTTGTTTTGTTTGTTTGTTGTTGTTTTTGTCTTGTCAATTCTCGAATAAATTTTTTGTTCTTTCTTTTAACACGGACTTACATTATTTACATCGCGCCTAAGTTTGTTCTGCAGCTAGTTAAAACAGGGAGATTTTTTTAAAAAATGTATCCTTTCTCAGATAAACGAGGGTTGAGGACGGCCGGAGTGGGGGCCCTTTGTGGTTGTTGCTGCTGCTTTGTTTTCCCGGAATTGTTTGTTTTGTGTGTCATCGCTGGCTTGTTGCTGCGGCTGTTTCACGTCATGGGAGAGACTTTATCTGCCGTGGTTCTTTCACAAGGCCCACTATAGGTAGGATTTGTTCTATTTTTGCATCTATGCAAGTTTGAACTTTATCTCTTACACAGCCATGCTAGGTGTATGGGTCATGTTTGTATTATATTGTCTTTATGTTATTCAATTTTTCCAGTTATATCTAACAGAAGAGTTTATTCCAAATAGATAAAATCCTCGTTGTGGTCATGCTCTGTAAGCTGCAGACCTCTGTACAAATGTAATGAGTGACTGGTTGCCTTATTTTTAATAGTCAGAATTCATTTACCTTGACATATGTTTAAGAAATATGGGGATATGAAAGAGAGGTAGCTATAGAAATTTAATCTTTTCTCTCTCTTTTTCTTTACTGAGACTCTTCGAATAATGAATTAAGACTGGCACTTCTGTGCAGGCACACAGGCAGGCGTTTGACTGGATTTCAGGCTGCTAGGGGGATGAGAGGTGGTCAGCGGTGAGTTCTCTGGTGGGATGACAAGTATTATCCTGCTCTCACCCCCTCTGCGGTTCAGCTTGAGCGGGACCCGGCGCCCAGCCACATGTTGCTCTCTGCCCCCGACTCAGCCTGTACAGCAGTAGCCACAGATCTAGGCCAACCAGTAACCTGGGAGGGGCTGCCGGCATCTTCCTTGGGCATCCTGGGGAGGCTGGAAGGTGGAGGATGAAGCTGTGGGGCTTCTGAAAGGCATCACGCTGAGACCAGGACTGGAGCCTGCCAGGACCAGGAGGACCAGAGCACACTGCAAATATGACCCAGCCAGCTGGGGCAGGCAAGAAGCCCAAGAGGCTGGTCAGACTTGGTGTCAGGGTTTCTGGCAACCTGTTGCAATTTTGTCTGGCTGACTAAGGTAAGTAGCAGAAAAGAAAGTAGACTGCTGCATGCTTGTCTTTGCTTTTTGTGGTGTGAACGATCTCATGGGCAGTTGTATAGTCTATACCTCCTATAAATGAGTGTGTATACGGTGTAAGTCGTGTCCTGGTTACAGGGAGGGAGGTGTCTAAGTCTGACACTCACCTTCGGAGAAGGCATGAATTTTAGGCATTGTACTAATCATATCACTAATTCAGGGAATGCTTCCTGGGACCACAGCGTGTGTTGCATTCATAAGTCATTGGTAACATGTGCAGTTATGTTCTTGGTATGTAATCTTGGTTTGCTGAATGAAAACAGAGTACACACAGAGCCTTTGCTTTAGCCGGTTGAGACTCTCTGTTCCAAGACTGACTCCCAGCACCCCAAAACTGCTATTCCAAGCAGAGAAAACAGAGGCGGGAAATCTGGGTAGAGCCCCTGGTGAGATGGGAAAGTTGTCCTAGGCCAGCACTGGAGGACAGACCCTCTCTCATTTCCCCAAGAACTGAAAAGCAAGAGGCACCCATGACTAGGGAAAGAGCAGTAGCCTCTTCCAGTTTGGAGGATGAGATGAAGGAATCAGGGAGGGATTCCTGGTCTACACAGGGATTGGAGGAGTTGAGAGAAAGAAGCCAAATCATACCCCACTTCCCCATGGATGCCCGCAGGAAGACATCTGTCTCTAATTCCAGCCCCAGGAGTTTCTGCAAAACTCTGTAGTTTGGTCATTTCCCCCCAGTGTTACAAGTTCGGGGCAATGGTTGACTTTCTTCATCTCTCATTTCCTTTCTTTCCTCTCCCTCTTTGCACTTTTTTGTTTCTGTTAGAGAAGATGATCTAAGGAATTCCCTAAGCAAGGACAAAAGTATTTAAGAGCGTTCTTGGTGCGTAGCAATTATGCCTTAGCATATACAGTCTGGTTTAGATGGCCAGACCACGTGGGTATATGTATATATGTCTGCCAGAGTATATTGTAAATACTACGTAAATAGTTTGATACAAATACGCTGCCAATTTCAGCATGTCCTGGATAATAAGTTGCTACACATGGCCTTGAATGAGGAGTACATGTGTACTTGTATGCATGTAAATATCCTCACACTCAGCACTGACAAGATGAGCCCCCCCCCCACATTTACACACAAATTCATGATCAATCCCACACCCTAGAACTGCTCTGCCAGAGTACTTGGGTTCTGGTGGGGAGTGTCCTGTTCTCAGAGGGACCTGGGAGAAGTCTTTTCCAGTGCAGTATATGTACCAAAGGACTGTAAGGTGAGGACCTAAGGGATTCCCTGAGATGGCCCTGCACCCTACTCTAGAGGCTGTTCTGGACCTGTTTCCTCCTTTACTAAATAAGCATTCACTGCTGTGCATCCTGGCTTTAGGTGGGCAGGAGGCCCAAGACCTTTCACCTTAGGGTTAGATGCCCTAGGGTCCTTGTCAGGGCATCTAACCTTCCTAGGCTAGAGCTACAGATTGGGAAGAGCCCCCTGGTGGTGGGTGGAAACCAGGGGCAGACCAGGGCTTCTTGGAGCCACAGGGGCAGGAGAGGATGGGCCAGGAAATTGGGTCAGACCCAACACTATCTGCCTGTGAATAAGCTCTTCCCTTAATGGAGCTTTGGAGTACTGGAACTGCTGAGCCAGGCTCATGGTCTCCAGGAGCGGGTCAGGGGCCAGGAAGTGGCTTGGTCAGGCTCAGGAGTCCTGCAGCGCTCCCACTCTGTAAGCTGATGGTGACTATACCGTCTCTGTCTTGCTGCCTCTACAGGTCAGCCCCTACTTCTGGGAGTAGCCTGTGGAACCTGTAGGAAGAGATGGGCCCAGGAGCCTTCGCCTCTCTTCTGTGGTGGGGACCAGAGGCCTGGAGTGGTTGGAAAGGGTCTTCATGGCCCCAAGTGTGTGTTAAGGAGTGCCAGAAGTGAAGGATTCTCGAAACCAAGTGGTCTGATTGGCTTTCTGCTTTCTGGAGAGAGGGCTCTACTGTGTCACAAGAGTGTCTGGGCCCCAGAAACCCCAAATCTTGTTTACATTTAAGGAATCTGGGGTCCTGAGAAGAGAAGGGGCCAGCCAGAGGTCACCCAGCTGTCTGTGGGACAAATAGCCTCAGAAATTTTAAGGAGAGACCTGAGAGTTTCGAGCCCAGTTCAGCCCTGCTGACTGTGTTGGAGAGCTAAGTGGATAAAGGGGAAGCCAGCCAGAGGAGAAGGAAGCACAGGGTTGGATCTGAGCCGTGGACTGACTGTACTCTGGAAACTTCTGTTCTGCCAGCTGTTTGCTGCCCAGGCTCCAGCTCGGTGGTAAGCTCTCACAAACCTGTCCTGGGACCAGGTCACCCCAGGGAAGTGCAGGATGAGGCTGTTCAGCCTGGAAGGACTAGTGTGGAGGCCACTGACTTCTTTTAATAACTGTGGGATGTTAGCCAAAAAATAATAATAATTCTTAATTTCAGTTTTCTCATCTGTAAAATAGAAAAAATATATATACCTTGCAGGGTTATTAAAATAATTAAATGTTCTACTGTCAAAGCGCCCAGTTTACAGTAGATGGTCAATATGGTTTTCCTTCCCCTAC